ACCATCGCCTCCGCGACTCGGCCTCCGAGATCTACCAATTCAAGGTCCGAGTGCCCACCTCGGGCTTCGGCGTCGATGGCGCCTTTGACGACGACCGCAGATCTTCGGCTGTACCGCCACCTAGCCGCGGCAACTCGGCCAGTAGCTTCGGTCCCACCTCGTCCATCTCGTCCATGACCTCGAGCAAGCAGCCCGCCTCCACCTCGCGCTCGCCCGCTGCCACCACCCCCGCCACCTCGATCTACAATGGCGTACACTCCGGCTCCGCGCTACAAGACGACGACGACGACGACGATGCCTTGCCCACCGGCGTCTTTACGCTGCTCACCGACTGCTACTCGCCCACGTGTTCACGCGATCGCCTCTGCTACAGCATCGCCTGTCCCCGCCGTCTCGAGCAGCAGGCGCGTCTCAACATGAAGCCACAGCCGGTGCTCCAGCGCAGCGTCAGCAGGGAGTCGCTCAACGACACCAAGGAACGCGGCGCCCTCTGGGCCGAGTCCGTCTCCAAAGAGGTGTTTGACAGCCTCTCGGATACGGAACGCAAGCGCCAGGAGGCCATCAACGAGGTCGTCTACACCGAGCGCGACTTTGTCGCCGACATGGAGTATCTCCGCGATCAGTGGATCAAGCCGCTGCGCACCTCGGACACCATCCCCGAAGACCATCGCGAAGACTTTGTCACGCAGGTCTTTTGGAACGTGCTCGAGATCCACGCGGTCAACGCCAAGCTCGCAGAGCTCCTCACCAAGCGCCAGAAGCAGAGCGACGTGGTCGACCGCATCGGCGACATCCTGCTCGAGATGGTGCCCCACTTCCAGCCTTTCGTCAAGTACGGTGCGCACCAGCTCTACGGCAAGTACGAGTTCGAAAAGGAAAAGTCGGCCAACCCGGCTTTTGCCAAGTTTGTCGACGAGACCGAACGCCTGCCCCAGTCGCGCAAGCTCGAACTCAACGGCTACCTCACCAAGCCCACCACCAGGTTGGCACGATACCCTCTCTTGCTCGAGCAGGTGGCCAAATATACCCCGGAAGACCACCCGGACAAGCAGACCATCCCCAAGGTCGTCAAGATCGTCCGCGAATTCCTCACAAAGGTCAACGTCGAGACGGGCAAGAGCGAGAACCGCTTCACGCTCGCACAGCTCGACCAGCAGCTCGTATTCAAGCAGGGCGAGGCCGTCGACCTGCGTCTGCGCGACGAGCAGCGAGAGCTCGTCTTCAAGGGCCCGCTCAAGAAGCGCGGCGGAACCCAGAGCGAGAGCGCAGAGCTCCAGGTGTTCCTCTTTGACCACGCGCTGCTCATGGTCAAGCCCAAGATGGTCAACAAGCACGAGCTCTACAAGGTCTACCGCAAGCCCATCCCGCTCGAGCTCCTCATCGTCACCGTCTACGACGAGGTGCCCACGGGCAAGGGCAACTCCACAAGGCCCAAGTCGGTCATGTCGCGCACCTCCACCGGCACCCGCTACAGCGGCACGCCCGGCACCGCGCCCAAGCAGGATGCCAAGACCGGCTATGCGCTCACCTTTACCTATCTCGGCAAGAAGGGCTATTCCATGACGCTCTGGGCCAGCACGTTTGTCAGCCGCAAAAAGTGGTTCGAGAACATCGAGTCGCGCCAGGAGATCCTGCGCCAGCGCAGCAACATCTTTGACACCATCACGCTCTCGGAGAACTTCTTCCTCGGTCCCAACCGCGTCAACTGCTCCGTGCCCTTCGACTTTGGCCGCAGGATCATCTACGGCACCGACGACGGCGTCTACCTGTCCGACCTGCGCGAAAAGGCGCGTCCGCCGACAAAGGTGCTTCCGCTCCCCGGCGTGACGCAGGTGGACGTGCTGGAGGAGTACCAGATCCTCATTGTGCTCGCCGAAAAGTCGGTGCACACTTTCACTCTGGACGCGCTCGATCCGTCGGATCCCATGGGCTCGCTCAAGCGCGGTCGCAGGATCTCGTCGCACACGTCCTTCTTCCGCGCGGGCATCTGCCTCGGACGCACGCTGGTGTGCGTGGTCAAGTCGAGCTCGCTCTCGTCGACCATCAAGACGCTCGAGCCCATCGAGCAGAACGTGCGTGGCAAGAAGCAGCCCACGTTCAAGAAGCTGCTGCAGGGCGGGCAGGACACGCTGCGCGTCTTCAAGGAGTTCTACATTCCCACCGAGTCGAGCTCCATCCACTTTCTCAAGACCAAGCTCTGCGTCGGCTGCACCAAGGGCTTCGAGATCGTCGACCTCGAGACGCTCGACACGCAGGGGCTGCTCGATCCCGCCGACACCTCGCTAGACTTTGTCCACCGGCGCGAAAACGTCAAGCCCATCGCCATCTACCGCATCTCGGGCGAGTTCCTGCTGTGCTACGACGAGTTTGCCTTTTACGTCAACAAGAACGGCTGGCGCGCCAAGGGCAACTGGATCATTCACTGGGAGGGCAACCCCACCTCGTTCGCCTACCACCATCCGTACGTGCTCGCCTTTGAGCCGAGTTTCGTCGAGGTGCGCCACGTCGAGACGGGCGCGCTGCATCAGGTCATCACGGGCGTCAACCTGCGCTGCCTCTTTGCCGACGTGCCGCCGCCGACGCCGAGCGTGCACCAGCAGACGGCGCAGGCGGTGGCGGCGATGCGCGTCAACTCGTTCAACGCCGCCATGATGGGTCCGTACGGCCGTCCGCCCATGGCGCTGCAGAATGGCATGGGACCGCCCATGGCGCCGTTCCCGGGCGCGAGGCCCGGATTCGCCCCGCCACCCAACGGCGCCATGGTGGCAGGCACGCCTGGCATGCCTGGGTTCGGTGCGATGCGGCCGGGCGCGCCACCCATGCGACCGGGTGGCGCGCCATTCCCGGGCGCACCGGGGGCGATGGTTCATCCTGCAGCTCCGTTCCCACCGGCGCCGACGCCGCAAATGCCGTATGCGTTCGGACAGGCTTCGACACCGCGCCCGCCGCCGGTGCAGCGCAACCCCGTGTGGGAGTCGGTGGCGGCGAGTCGCAACCAGATCGTGTTTATCGGCGACACCACCGTGTTCTGCGTCCGTCTGCATACGGAAAGGGACTCGAGCAGCGGCTCCGTCTCGCCCTCGAGCTCGTCCATCAAGGGGTGACGAGGCCAGTCGAGGTCCATTCGTATGAGTTCTTTCTCTGTACATCACGCAATGCAATGTCTTGTATCTCTTCTGTCTGTCCTTGGCGCCTGTCTTTGTCGCCTCTTTTCGTCGCCCGTCTTTGTCGCACTGATAAGGTGAGGCGGATCGAGGTGTGTTCATATCTCGTCTGTCCGCGTATGACGCCAAGCGATGTTCTCGTTTCTTGGCCGTTCTTGTTCCTTTGCCGTTGATCTTTGTCTTGAATGCAATGACACCGTGAGGTGGCCGTTTGAAGAGGTCCGTTCGTGGCTCGTCTGTACATCAGGCAATGCGATGTTTTGTATCTCTCGCGTCTTTTTCGTCGCACTCAAGGGTGAGGGTGGCCGTTCGAGAGGTTCGTTCGAATCGAGACTTGATTGGCACCACACAATGTCATGTCTTGGAGCTCTTCTGTCGGTCTTTGTTGCACCGACAAGGTGGAACGGTCGTTTGAGAGGTCGTATCTCGTTCGTATCTCGTCTTTGCGTACACCGACGCCATGCGATTTTCGGTAACTCTTCTGTCTGTCTTGATCGCACTGACAAGGTGGAACGGTCGTTTGAGAGGTCGTATCTCGTTTAGTATGTTCGTCACGTCATGCGACGTCTTGTATCTCTTCCGTCTGTTCCTTGTCGCCTGTCTTCATCGCCCGTCTTTGTCGCCTGTCTTTGTCGCCTGTCTTTGTCGCACTAACAAGGGTGAGGCCGCCGGTTGGAGTTGCGTCCGTACCTCGTTTCGGCTGTACATGACGCAATGCGACGGCTTGTATCTCTCTCGTCTGTTCCTCGTCGCCTGTCTTGGTCGCACTGATAAGGTGAGGCGGTTCGGGGTGTGTTCATATCTCGTCTTTCCGCGTATAACGCCATGCAATGTTCTTGTTTCTTTGCCGTTCTTGTTCCTTTGCCGTTGATCTTTGTCTTGAATGCAATGACACGGTGAGACCGCCGCTTCGAGAGGCGTTCGTATCTCGGTTTTCCGTTCATCACGCAATGCAATGTTCTGTATCTCTCCCGTTTGGTCTCGCTGTCGAGCTCGTCCCGCGCGAGCCAGGTAGCGTCTACATCGAGGCGCTGTTGCTCAAGCAGGCCATCCTCTCTAGCGTCACCGGCTGTATCGCTGCTAAAACTCAGCCCTTTGCGACATGAATCTGAGCGCGCTCATCTACAGTAATGCTTTATCAGCTTTACATTCGATACATCCGTGTCTTGTTTCTTTGCTGTGCTTCCACGCAATGCAACGTTCTTGCATCTTTGCCGTCGGTCTTTGTCGCACGAGGTGTGGCACGTTCAGCGATATTACGATCAGTGACGTCGCCTGGATATGGCATGTAGCGGCTACTCGGACCAGGTTTCGAATTGAGCTCGTGAGGGAATGAAAGGCGCCACGATCGTGCGGAACATGCGTCCAGGCCGCCAATCCTAGGACGGACCGTCTCGCGGACACATCGGTGGCTCGCACTTCCGAACGCACGATAGCAGTACGTGATCCCATTTGAGTCGAGATCGTAATAGCCGGCTCATCTGGAGGCCGTCGCAGCCATGCTTGACACAGTTGCATGCCCCTCACATGGACTCGATACGAACGATGGCGATTTGGACCTCATGTTAGACCTAGAATAATTCTTTCTGAGCGCATTTTTTCGTACGTGTCTTGGTGCTGACTAATACGCTGAAATTGAGCCAAGTCGGATTGGGCCGGGCTTGGAGGGCAGCGCGCAGCTTGGGGAGGTTCGAATTTCGGTTCCGCGCAGGAGAGAGAGATCGTTCAGACGCCCGCACCCCCACCGCCAACACTTGCGCGAAGAAGTCACATCTACCGACCCTCTTCACCATCGATACCATCCATCTTTCCCTCCGAAAGCACATCCTAGCAACCATGCGCGCTTCTCAGGTCTCGTTCTCCGGCATGCCCACCGGCAAGAAATACGTAAGTCACCCATCCCCTCGACGTTTCGAGAAGCAGGCGGAAGAAGTGGTGATCCAGCCAACCTGACATTTGAATCAATCTTTCAACATATACACTCTACCCCACCTCTCGAAACGATCGCCAACCTCTCTTTACTCTCCAACATCGAAAACGACGATATGACTCGGTCACACATTGGATCGCATCGCTTCGACCGGCACGCATTGTCCGACTGCCGACGATACTGGCCCACGGACGAATACGATCTGTGCAACCTCGATCCACGATTCCTACGCTGCTTGCACTGCATTGCGCTTACAACAACAGATGGGCTGGTGGGGCGACATGGGTGGCCCTGCGCAGCGCGGTATCGTGCAGTACTCTGTGTCGCCGTTCCAGCAGAATGCGATGCGCGGCGCGCTGCACAGCTACATCTTCTACGGCTTCAAGCGCATCATGCAGCAGGCTCCCTACTTTGCCGTGCCCTTCGCCGCAGGTAAGTCCCTTCCCGCCTTGTCCTACTTTGACTTGGGCCGTATGCTGACATGAATGGTTCTCGAAGGTTACGGTCTGATCGCCTGGGCCAAGAGCAAGAACGCCTACTACAACTCCAAAGCCGGCCACGCCGAGCTTGCTCACGACGAGTAAAACGTAGCGTCCACACACCTCGGCTCCCAATACAGCTTGATTCGCAATAATCCTCGCACCGGCCACATTGGCGGTTTGAGCAGGAGGATGGAAGCGTGTGCGAGCATGCCGTGCGTGGCTTCGGAGACGCAAAGCCCGTATGGCCCTTTTCAGTGTTGGCGCAAGGATAGTGGCGCTTCAAGCCATCTTGTCACCATGGTGGACTGTAGAGTGAGGCCGTACACTGTGCGCCGGTGAGAAGAGACAGGCCGGCGACCAGCGTCTGATGGGTGCACACGGGTACAGCCGAGCGTGTCCACACCGAGCGCCGCTGCACACGCAGACGCCAAATGCTCTTGCGTCGATCCCTGTGAGCTTATACCGAGCCCCACAGTACTGAGCCTCCACTGTGCGCTATTGACTGCATCTCCGCATGCTCGATAGCCTCCGTACCCGCTCTTAGGGGAGTGACTGCCCCGACTCTGGCTATAGGTACATATTGGACATTGGTCTCCTTGGACCCTTATGGACGCTCCCAGTTAGTACAACGGTCAGTATACGGCACTTTCATCGCACCGCAAGGTGGACTCGGGAGCTGCTGAGATCGGGGTTCGATTCCCCGGCCGGGAACACCTTTTTTTTTCCTCTCCACAATTGAGCCCACAGCATTGCAGAGCTTCAGCTTGAGTTTTAAGCTACACGATGGTGACGAACAAGGCGCTGTTGCAAACCAACGAATCGAGGTGTGCACACTGAGGACGGAGGTAAAGGGAGCGGTTAAATACGGGGCGGTTAAATAAGGGAGCAGAGGGATTGTGGAGGAGGTGCGCATGAGCCAACGTGGATTGGTCATATCCCCGCGCATCAGCCGAGTTCACCGGAGCTAAGAAGCCCGCTTTGCTCTCACTTGTACCGGTGCTTCAGACCATCATCACAGCGGCTCGACAACTGAACGAGCCTTCGCATCTGCTTTCTGACCTACTCCGTCCATTTCCACCCTCTGGATCCATTTCACCATGGCTGCACCTGCAGGCGTTTACCGCAACACGCTGCTGCAGGCGGTGTACTTCGGCCCTGGTAGTGTGACGAGCTCGCTACCGGCTGCGATCGAGTCGCTCAATCTGCAGCAGAAGAAGGCGTTTATCCTGACGGGCAAGAGTCTTGCGACCAAGACGCGCGTGATCGAACGCATCCAGACCATCCTTGCAGACAAGGGCTACTACAGCGGCGAGACGTACTACGACATTGGGGAGCACGCGCCTGTAGCGGGGATCCGTGAAGCGGTGGAGCGAATCAAGACTTCCAATGCGGATGTGATTGTCGCTGTTGGCGGTGGGTCGCCCATTGATGCTGCCAAGGCGGTATCGTTCTACCGACACCGCGAGGTGCACGGTGAAGAGAGTGCGCGCAATGCGCTCACCGACGCGAAGCTCTTCATCCCGACCATTGCAGTGCCTACGACGCTCAGTGTGGCGGAGACGACGCAGAACGCAGGATTCAAGTCGGACGAGGGACACAAGATCGGTGTTTCGTCCAGGAACCTCGTCCCGCGTGCGATTGTGTACGATGCAGAATTGACCATGGATACGCCCGAACGGCTGTGGCTCTCAACTGGTATCCGTGCTCTAGACCACGCGGTGGAGTATCTGTACCGACCGGATACGCACCAGCTTCTCACGCCGAGTGTTCAAGCCGCAGTGCGTGCGCTCTTTACCTATCTGCCCGTGTCCAAGCAGAATCCAGACGATGTAGAGGTGCGCCAAAAGCTCCAGCTGGCTTGCTTCAACTCGCTCTGGCCCGAAAGTCGCATGGGCGCCCTAGGCCTCAGCCATGGCTTGGGGCACAAACTCGGCGCAACTTACGCCATCTCGCACGGCATCACTAGCTGCATCACCCTCCCCGGCGCCGTCCGCTTCACAGCCACCTACAAGGACACGCCTCTGCACCATCTGCAGAACCTAGCAGACACTCTAGCCTTCATCCCACCCCCCTTCAATCCCAACCCGGCCCCCCTCGGTCCTGCGCCCGGATCGGCAAAGACGCAAGAGGAAGAGCTGAGGACCAAGGCGCAACAGGTCGCCGACGCCATCCAGCAACTCGTCGATCAACTTGGTCTGCATTCCACCCTCAAGAGCTCCGGTGTCGACAAGGACCAGTGCGAAAAAATCGCCACCCAGGTGACGGGCGAGGACAAGAAGGGATCCGAATACTGGAACGGCGTCAAGCAGATCCTTGACGACGCATACGAGTGATCAACCGCCATAGCCGCACTCGTCCAGTTGTCAGAAGAGGGGAACTTGCATTTCCACTGCGCCTTTTGTGATTCTCCAATGCAGAGTGCGGTTGTGCCAACAGCAATGCAGGGGGCTTACTCGTCGAGGTCCATGCCGTCTTTGGGCTGCGTCGACTTTCGGGCGCGCAGCGATCTTGGTGGCTCCTTGGGTTCTTGACTATCGATGCTGACCGCGTCTTTGTGGTTCGATTCGTCCTGGAGCGTGGTGTGTGGGGGAGCGTCTTCGTCGTCCGACTCGTCGGCGCGCAGCTTGAGTCTGCTGCCGCCGTCGCGCGTGCGGCTGGGTTTGGACGGTGTCTCGACCGTATGTGCTGCAGGACCAGGGTCCGAGGCGCGCGGACGGTTGGCGGTGGTGTTGAACGGCGAGCTGACGGGTGCCGAGCTGGGGCGGCGCGAGTTAAAGTGCCCGCAGTGCGGACAGACGTACTGCACTTCGTGGAACTCCTCCTTGAGTGCCAGGCCGTTGTGCATGTGACAGCGTGCGCAGATCAGCGCATACTTCTGCTCGGCTCCCGTCGCGGTGGGGTCGGCTCCGAGGATCGCATCCGCCACCTTGTCCATCCACGTCTTTTGCAGCACTACGGGAGGACGGACGGGGGCGGGGATGCCAACACCACCTTGTTGGCGCATGAGTGCCATACGCTGCGCCTGCAGTGCGTGCGCTTCCGGCGTCGACAGCGCAGGCACATTGCCTGGACGTGGCGGGGTGCTTGTGCTGGCTCCCGCCGGCGGTGTCCCCTGCTTCGACGAAGGCGATCCCGACTTGGACCCCGCTTTTTGCTTGACTGGCGTGGCTACCTCGGCTGGCTTGGGACCACCCTCATCGTATTTGTCCAACAGCATACGCAGATGGTCGTACTTTGTGGCGCGTTTGATCTCGTCCACCTTTTCCCTCTTCTGCCTCCTCAGGTCGATGAGGTGCTTGTCTTCAGCCGCTCCGATGCGACGGTACCACCAGCGGACGATTCTGCGCGTCGAGATGATCAGCACGGGACTACCCAGCACGGGAAGCCAAACCAGCATCGCACTGTGCTTCGAGCCCGAGTGTGGACGACGCAGCGTGAGCAATCCAAAGAACCAGCATACTGCCGTATAGATCGCCCAGAGCACGAAGGCCTGTAGCGTGAGAGTGACCGAGGCGCGTCGCTCGCGCAGCCGGATCTGTGTGAGGCGAGATTGCACGTCGTTGATCTCGCCCTCGAGACGAGCCAGCACGCTTTCGTAGTCCGTCTCGCGGTTGGCTCGACGCCACGGCAAGAACGAGCCGCTAACCAGCGCGTTGAACACCCCCATGGCTCGTATGTCGCAAGGTGATGGTGGTGATGTCGTGTTTGACGAGTGCGAGCGGTGCACGGATCCTTGGCCCCACCCGAGCGCGTGCAGCACTCGTCTGAGAGAGGAAATGCCTGTCTTTCTTCCGCTCACCCACCAGAGTGACGCAACACTCTCCAAATTTGGATTTTCCTCCCGCCCCAGTCACACACACACACACACAC